GCCCCTCAGCTCACCTTACATACTTCCCATATAGGAGCGAGAAGAAGCAGAGTTTCACCATGTTCCAGGAGGTGCTGTTATCGTATCTCATCAAGTTTAAGGCCAGAGCCACGTGAGAATGGCAGTTATCACAGCAGAGGTTGTGCTGGAACAGAGAAAAGGGGCATGGGATTAGAAATTCTGTTCTTGAGGCTCCCCCGTTCTGGATCCTGGGCTGGTGCAGGGCTCCAGGTCCCACTCCTGCAGCAAGGACCTGAACACTGAGGAGTTATTCTTCCTCCGTGCATGAGACAGGACAGCGGCAGTGCAGCCGTACCATTCGGTGCTTGTACTCCTCCGAGGCGTCGTGCACGGCCGTGTCCCAAGCGTTGGGAGTGGTGGAATACACTTTGTTGGGATCCAGCTTCCAGTACCTAGAAGGATGAGAACGGATGCCTTTGCATTATTGCCGCACTGGCACAACTTCTTGCTCTTCCCAGCAGCAAGATGCTTAAAAGACTTAGAGGAATCCACTCCCTCTGGAGTGCACGGAGCTGAGCTCTTGGAGCCAAGCGTAGGTTGCAGAGAGCAGCACAAACTGCTGCTCAGCACCCTCAGCCCAACAGCACCCCAGAGAGAGAAACTGCAGAGCTCGGGGGAGCAGACAAAACTCCAAACTGCTTTCACGTCCCATGCTACGAAACCTCCCGGCCATTCAACACATAAACCTGATCTGACAGATGCACAAAACCCAGGCACCTCTCCTCCTCCCCCAGGAAAATCATTAACGGGATGTGAGGGATGACAGGTCATTAGAACAGGGCAGGCAGTATTTACTTGGAGCACTTGTTGTTAACATTATCTTAAAATGTTTTAGCCTTTTCTCTCCTTTTCTTTTAATAAAGGCTCCATACAGCTCTAGTTATTAATACCATTACATTGCTGTCACGCTTCTAAAAAGATTTAATTTAACGTGGTTTCCTGAAAAGCAGAGACACGGTAGCCTTCCACTTGAATTAGGGCATCTGAACAACCACAAAAGCAATATTATAGCACTTCTGCCTCCATGAATTAAAGGACATCTGCAGGTCAGCTGGTTAGTTTAATAAAAACTAACAAGAGCACTTACTTCACTGGCTTCCCAAATGCCATGTTGTCTTCCTACAAAAAAGGAAAAACGTCTCAAGAGGACAACCCCGCGCGAAATTCATGACACGCCTCTTGCTGGAAGGCCTCACCGCCCGCGGTGGCTTGGTGATAAAACTGTCACATTGCCTCAGCGGTCTCAAGACACCAATCTTATTTGTACGTCTGGATTTAGATTTCAATTGTTTTCATATTCCCGTTCTGGGCACAAGTATATTTATACCCTATACACGGTGACATCATCTAGTTACATGGTGTAAAGTACCTTATTCCCCCTCATTTTTTTTTTCTTAAACTGTTAATATCTCGTTAATTCAAAATTGCAAATGCCCCAATCTATTAAGAGTATTCCTTATCCCAAATTAAAACTCCCTTACTTTCAAAATCCATCAGACTATAATGCGGTTTAGGAGACAGGCACAGACCTGGCGCTAAGCAGCGTGACAGGACCGGGCACACCAAGGAAGCTGGAAGGTGGCTTCTGGTACTCAGAATGAAGAGATTTTAGGTACAAAATTCCCAATTAAAAGCCTAGACCACAGGTTTTTTCCCCCTCTGCTCACCAAACTAGTTGCTATTTAGCATATCCCCTAAATGATCTCCATGGCACAGCAGCGCGCGGAGTAAGAGCAAAGCCTCGTGATCTTCAGAAACATCTAAAGCCGTTACTTTGCAGAAGGTTGAGCTGCCAAAGGCAGGGGATGGCTCAAAAGCCACCAAGGAAGGTGACAAGCAGACCAAGCACAGGTTCTGCTTAAACACCCAGATCCATCGTCTACTTACTGAGACAAAGTAGGGCCCCGCGAAGTCCCGGATGACTCCAGTCGACGTGCAGATGCCCATGTGGCCGATGATGGGGAAGAGCCATCTACGAGGCAACAAGCGAACCATCAGGCCCAGGTATTTGTGACCCCGCTGAGTGTGTGTGACAGGCGGCTGTACAACTGCACAACAGGCTCTGGACAAGTGGCCGCGTAGCGTGGGACAGACAGGCGCAGCTACTGGGTTATACGGAGCAGAAAGGTGAAAGCAGGGGAGCCAAGGGCAGGCACAGACCGTAACGATACAAGAAAAAGGAAAAAAAACCGCAGGGAACACCCAAAGCCGCGCTGACAGGAGGGTCTAGAGCCAGCTTGTCTGTGGCTCCAGGATTTTAGCGTGAGCGGCAGGGGGGGAGGAGGGTGCAGGGCTCTGAAGGCCATGCAATCCACGCGATGCTGGCCCCAGAGAAGGGGCGAGCCCCAGTTTGCCAGAACAAACCCAAATAAAAAGATTCAAACTAGGAGAAACTGCCTGGAGAGAAAACCGGACTTTCCACTTCCAGGACTGAAAATAAGGTCACCCTGCCCGTCTTCCCACCTGCGTTGCAGCTTTTCACAGCTAACGAGACTCGAAGCACTCCAGACAGAAAATGAGGCTCCTGGTTCAGGGAAAAGCACTCCCTGCCCTAAATGAGCCCACTGCTTCAAAGACTTTCTCCCTTCAATGGACATTTACAGCCCCCGGGAGCATCAGATCTATATCCCAATCTCCTTCCATCATCATTGCTTAAAAGTAAATCCTTCAGGCCAAGTTAGAGCTCTCTCCCGCATCCCTCGGGCATTCTCAGGTTTGCTGAACCCTCTCCGAATCCTCACTCCTCTCTCCCCGAGGAGCTGCACGCGGCGACTCGTATTTCGGCAGCGATTACGGCCACGCCAAACCGATTCATGAGCTCAATCCAACTGATCCTAAAACTATCCGAACGAAAAGGGACCGAGGCAGTTGGGTTCGACAGGGAAAAACACACCACACACATCAATCAGGCTATAAATAGCGCGTAGGTCTTGTCAACAACACAACCCTCCGACTGCGAAGTTTGATGTTGCGAGCTTTGCGCCGCTCACGCCCCGCACGTTCCTATTTGTGTGATGCAAAGCAGGCAGACAGCTCGGCTATCTGCACAGTGTTTTATCAGCCAGGAGGTACGGCTGAATATCACGCTGCCACAGCATTGCCACCTTCAAAGGTCTAGACGCTTCTTCCTTTTTTTTGATTCTCCCCTCGGCACCGCCTAGCTTTTGAGCCTCCAAATCTGAGGATGACAGGAAACCTCAGAGAGAGAAAACAGAGCTATTACGCAGGCTAACGAGAGATTCTGCCACATAACAGCACTGAAATCCCTGCTGCAAAACAAAAATCAACAGAAAGGCGACACTATTCAGCAGGGAACGAGCCCACAAATACAGACGCTCGGTGACTTTGGTGTGTCTCTTCATTGGTCCCAGCAAGTTAAAAGCTCTGGAAAATCTTCCAGGAAAAGATTAAGGTGAAAATTTTAAGCCATCAAAAAAGAGGTGAAAAACAAAGCTGGTTTGTAGCTGTATGTGACACAGCAACAGGAAAGCTGCAGCTTCTCCTCGCTGAGGAGAGTTGTGGTGCCATTCCCAATCCTGGCACGGACCGCGCCACGTCTTCTACCTGACTTTCGGCTCTGGCTCAGTAAACATTATCACCTGATTTGAACGGGAGAGGAAGAGGAAGGCATAAAAATGAGCCTTGGTGCTCCCAGACTACCCTCACAGCCACCTTTTACAGCTTCTCATTTTCCCACGCCCAGAGGAACAACTCTGAACTTCTCCTCGGAGCCTGCTTACAACTTGGCTGACAGGACTGGGAAAGGCAAATCGACTCCTAACTCATGAGAAGCAAAGAGCAGGGGCTTCCCACAGGCCACGAGGTGCTCTAAGATCCAAACTTCGGCTTCCAAACCCACCGGAGGCTTCCCACGGTTCACCGGATCCCCTCCTGCGGGGACAAGCAAAGCTTCCCCCGTTT